CCCCCCCATCCAATATAAAAAAATATTTTTCCACTGGAGCTAGTCAGACTGTTCTTTGAAGTTTATGTGCTCATAAAGTTCGGGAAAACAAACACAGAAGAACAATTAAGAATGTGCTGGGAAAAGAAGCCATGAATGGGAATCACATTGGCAGAGATGGAAGTCCTAAATGCCTTCCTGCTTAAAGCAGTGTGTTGTTTGATGTGAGCTAGACAAGCATATGGGGGGAATAAACTAGAAAGTTGAGAAATAGATTCAAGTATGAATTGAAATTAGTTATTTAGTAAGAGAGAAATCTTAAAGTATTGGGAATGGGCTTTAAATGGATCCTTTACACCATACACAAGAATACAGGTGGATCCAAAGTCTGAAACTATCCACATAGTTTTCCACCAGTAACGAGTAGCTGAGTAGAACCTCATGTGGTATGTAGTCTCTTGTATGTGTTGCCTGACCAGGGGTCCTCATGATTCACACCCTTGTGCTTTCCCATGTTCTGTGGACCCAGGCACTCATCTTTTGGCTATGGTCCTGAAACAGAAATATTTCTACTTGTTCCTATGCATCAGCCTTATCCACAGCTCAACTCTATAGCTCTTTAATGCCCACATAGACTCCTTGATACATGATATGACCCTCTTTTTCTGAGTGTGATACTTCAACTATATTTTTGTTATTGTGTGGTACTCTTAAAACCGATCCCCAAGGCTTTGCAGAAGTAAGGATTTTGGACACAGTAGCTATGTAAGTGGTACCCAGCTGATAAGCAGGCTGATGTTATCTTCCACATTCTAGCCTTTAAAAATGGATTAGTCAAATCTGTGCTTGTCTTTGAAGAAATTAATTGTTCATCGGTGTGAGTTGGTTTTGCTCTAGTAGTTAATTTAGCCTTATTTAAAAACCTGTTTGAGATCCTTGAGAGAAGGAAGGACTCGGGTTACTTGAGATGCCCTTGAGAGAGGCAAGAGGCAGTGAGATTCCAGGACATGGTACCCTCAGGCAGGGTGCAGCTTTGTGGGATGAGCCATGAGGAGTGAGACTGAAGAACGCAAGTGACTGGAGGCAGACATATGCTCTGATAGATGACTCCTTCATTCTGCCACCAGAACCTGTACCCAAACTAGGTGCTCCTTGCAGACTACAGTGCTGTCCTGGGCAGGGTCTGGAAACAGGTACCCTGAGCCTAGTTAGGCCATCCTTCCTCATAAGACTCATGTGCAAACATTGCTGACATGTAGCTGGTCTCTGTTGGTTTGAGCCCAGAGTGCTCATACTTGCCTGACCCTAATAGTGTGGAAGCAGCCAACTCAGCATGCTCTCAGTCAAGGACTGAGTCAGTATCTAGCTGCTCATCTTTCTCCTCATCTTCTCACAGAAAGACCAGATTTCAGCTAGTTTTTAGAAATCTGTAGGGAGAACTCAAACATGTCGGAAGAGCCCACACAGTGACCACCTTCGGCTGTAGTGGAGTCCTCGAATTCACTGGGGACTTCCACCAGCATGCTATGCTTTGGCTTGTGTGCTTGAATTTTGTGAATTCCCTAGTGTTCCCAGGTAAAACGAAGACATCTTAAACTGACCTGGTGGCAACTGTAACCAGAAGTCTGTGGTTGAGGCTGCAACAGTTTTCTGGGCCCCAGCAATTCTTGCTCAACCTTTTCTGCCCAGTAAACAGCTAGGAAAGGCCATGGTCCAGGGAAGGCATGGCCTCCACATTTCCTCCTGCCAGCTGGCCTCTGAAGTCACCTCTCAGCCAGTGTGGCCCATAGCACCCCCCTCCCAGTTCCGCTTTGCATGCCGACTAAGGCATTTTACAGAGAACAGCAGCAGTGAAGTTGGGTGGATATGGAAGCCCAGTAGGCCCTCCACTCAGCTGTCCTCCACCCCTAGAAAGTGCCATGAGGAAAGCCATTCCACAGTGAAACCCTGAGACCCCATGGACCCTCGTCTAGGATGGAAATTAGCACCTTTCACAGATTTGAGACCTGGACTTGCTGGACTTCCAAGTAAGCTGAGAGTGGCATTTTGCATTTTTTAAGGATTTTTAAAAAATAAAAACAAACATAAAAAGAATATGCAACAGCGATGGTATACAGCCCCCCTTATCACCTGAATTTACAGGGAAGCTGGTCTAGTTGATTGGCTCAAAATATAATAAGCGTTCATCTGAAATGAACAAACATTTTGAAGTAACAGCAAATAAGTGTATGAAAAAATACTCAACATCACTGGTCATTTGTGAGATGCAAATGAAAATGCTGAGATTCCATCTCCAGAAAGAATGGCAGCTATCAAGAAATCAACCAATGATAAATGCTGGCAGGGATGTGGGGGGAAAAGGACCCCATTCTTCACTGTTGGTGGGAGTGTAGACTGCTGCAACCACTGTGGAAATCAGTGTGAGATTCCTCAAAAAACTAAAACTAGGGCTCAAGCTTTTTTAAAGAAACTGCTTTTTTTTTTTTAAATAACCTTAGAACAGGTCCATGGGGCTTGAGCATTCTAAGCTGTGGACCTGTGCACTTCAGGGTGCTGACCAGCATCCCAGGCCAGGAGCAGCCCCTCCAGTTGTGACAGTCAAAATCACCCCCAATTGAGAACCACTGGCTTAGAATAATACACATACACTTACTACAGAGGTGTATTGCCTAACTTTTAGCTGTTGCTGAAATGACAGGCACAGAGACATCTTCATTTCAGGCACAAGTCTTCTAGGATGGAAGCAGCAGTGGGACAAAGGACCTACTGAGCAGAAGTGTTTGATGTTTGTAATTAGGTTGTTAAGATTTCTTGGAAAGCTAATCACAGAGTACAGCTGATCTATGTAGACTTCAGACTGTGAATATACTTTATTCTCTGGAGACTGATCCCTTTTATCTGGTAGATGGCAGCAGTTAAATCAGCAGCCTTATTTTGGCATAAGATTGGAAGGTTGCAAAAAGGGAAATCCTGCCAATTTCTCTTAGGATCAAAACAATTCAGAAATGGTAGACATAGGTCAGCAATAGCAGAGTGTTGATGCCAGAGCATGGTGATTTATTTTACTCTACTGTTTACCTTTCCTATGTTGGAAATGGCTCCATAAAAAAGTCTTTGGAAAGAAGATTGTAGGTAGGTGATAGTTTGGAAACACAGCTTTAAGAGATTCACCTGCTAGAGAACATTTGGTGAATTTGAAAGTATTTTCAAATGAAGGCTGCAGTGAAGTTTGGGGAATGCGGAGACAAGTATATTGTTAGGATAGCCTGAACCTTTAATTGGACCTTTGGTTTTCAGGGAACCAGGTTTCAGCTGCAGTAAGAGGGGATATGGGAAGAGTCAGAGCTCTGGAAGGAGCAGCTCTCAATGAGTCCCCCAAGCCTTGCCCTGCTGGGACTTGGGAAAGTTTAAGTGGGGAGATGGTACCTTGAGGTTTTTGCCCTAACCCTAAAAAGGGAGGAGGGGCTAATCAAAACACGTCTTTGGTTAAATGGATGTTGCTAGATTTATTTTTTTTTTTTAATCAAAAGCAGTTGTTAGAAACTTTTCAGTAAAGTATTAGCCCACAAACCTGCTTTTAATATAAAATGTTAACAGTGTTCTTTGTGACTTCAGGGCCCTTCTTTTTGCAGCACTTCAGGTGGGACCCCTTATCTGAAGTCTACCTCGTACAGATCTTGCTTCCCAAGGGGATGACTGACCTCCTTTTCCTGGGACCTTTCTAAGGGTACATTTCCAGTTACTTCTCAGCAGTCCACACTATATTGTGATGAGTTCATCCAGGTTGACTGTGTCACAAGCTGGTCACAGGAATGCGTATGGAGGATACTTGAAGACTGGGGCTCTACAGGTTATATTGTCCCCTATGAATGCCACATGTGGGCTTGGAGTCTCTGAACCTCTACATTTTACAGGCAGTTTGGCCCATATGTACATATTTTTCAGGAGAGGGGTTCTATAATTTTGATTTGTTATCAGCAGGTTTTATAAGCTAAATACTTCAAGGATCATTGCCTGAGATGGCTGATAAGTGAAGAGCCCAGCCTCAGTACAGACTTTGAACTTCCCTGCCATTGCCAGCCCTGGGTCTTTGCTCTCTGCCCAGCTCTCATCATCCATCTTTCTTTGTCACCTTTCCAGGTGGTACCTAAAAAGTCCTTCTGGCTGTTTTTCAGCTGCCTCCTCAATGTAATACCGGAGGGTCAGGAAGGACGCACACAGAAATATTTGTATACCACAGGAGGAGGTGACAGTGTTATTCTTGGTCAAAGGGCAAAAACACCACTGGCTTTTTTTTTTTATATCTCCTTGTCTTCTCCTACCTTTCTTGGTTGTACCTCCTTTGTCCACTCAGAATTAAATCCCCCACAAGCAGATGATGTTTCTCTAGTGGTCAGGTATCCATTATACAAACACCCTCAGAGAGCCAGGGGTGGGATGGGCCCAGAGACGGTCCTTAGTGGCAAGGACCAGCCCCTAGGGCACATAGGTTCCAGCAGTGGGTGGGCAGTTTGTGGCAGGCCATGTCGAAGGCCGCCCCTGACTCTGGCTGGGTGTCTTTCCTCTTTTGCAGATCGTCCAGTCACTCGATGGGGATTCACAAAGGACCACCTGTGTTTGTCACCTTCCCACCTCTCTATAGCAAGAGAAGTGACCGCAGCGCCTCTTCAGTAATGATGATGAAACTGGTATTAACTGAGTGGCATTTATGGATTTTTAACTCTAATTCGCAGTGAACCAGCAAGCCATATGTTTACAGTCCAACCAAAAAACCTGTTTGCTGCGTGTCTCCTGCAACCAGGAGAAGCTGAGACACCCATTTGTACAAAGAGGAATATAAGTGTTGCCTGCCCGAGGAGTGCACCTGGAGCAGAACGAGACATCTTAATTTATCCTTAAAGATATGAAAG